GTGCATTGTAGTATAATGTATTTAAGTAAATAAAATACAAAATAAGATAATAAATGCCCGTCCCAAATACATAACTTCTTTTAAGTTGTAAATGTGCTATCATTTAAATATCATTAGTATGGCTAATTGGCTTAGTTCAAGTGCCATAAAACAAAACACACACACATCATTAGTATCACCATATCATAGTATCATATAATAGTATCACCATTAGAAATCATATAAACTGATTTTATTTGCGCACTTGCAATTTATTTTTTACATAATAGCTCATTTGATGTCACGCCACTGGTAAATTTGGTATTTCCGATAAGTTTATAACAATCGTCGCGACTGTCTATTATAGTATCGTTTATTTATTATTAACAGGCACCTGTATAAACTCGTCATGAAATTCTCAAGTTTATTATTGTTCGTTGTTTGTTTACCAAAAAATGTAATATTAATACAATGTTATGAGTGCGCTATAGTGGCTATCACCGACAATCCATGGGAACAATACCGGCATAAACTGTGCAAAAATTTCGATGGTACTAGTGGTTTTATTAAGACTTGTGGCAACTCTACGTTTTGCAGAAAAACGATTTTGAGAGGATCTGTTGGGGAAGTGATAGGCGGTATTGAAAGAGGGTGTGCCAGACAAACGTTTGCGTTTAAAAACCAAATTGGCAAGGACTGGTTCGATGATTATAGAGTTATTACAGACGCATACGAAGAGACTTGTTATATTTTGAATAATGCTAAAAGAAGTGTTATTGTCGAAGAGTGTTATTGTAAGGGTGACTTGTGCAACTCAGGTGTAAATATATACAGTAATGTATATAATATTATGTTGGTACTATTTTCCGTGGTAACCTATTTTTATAATTCGTACCTTTTTTAAACAAATAGTGAAAATATTGATATACTGACTATCTAAAAATGTGATATTATGTTAAGTTAAAAATAAATATTATGTTAACAATTTTTCAAATATAAAAATTAATATTTCATAATATCTTCAAATATATATAATTTTCCTTCTATTGAAACAGGTTTACACTGATTTTTTAAATAACTATATTTCTTTTTTTTATTTTGTTTGTTGTTTTTTTTATAGCGCATCAACCACGCAGGGTTATTAGTAGACTTCGGCAAATATGTATATTGCATATTTTGCATATTGTGCATATTTTATGCAAATATTTTATATTTTGGCATATTTGTATAAAAGTTTGCATAAAGTGCATAAAAGTTCAGATTTTTATACTGTATTTGAAAATTTTTAAACATACCAATTTATTTCAATTCTTGTATAAAATTTTGTAGTCATTTTAATCAAGAAATGATCTAAGTACGTAATCTCTACAGGTACAAAACATTTACAATTTCAAAGAAGATCAATTTAAGTAGCCCTCAACATTCTTAGAAAGTCTCGGTCACTGAGGCATTCAGTTATTGGATAATCGCTAAGGGTTCGCTCATTTGCATTTTATGATCTAATCCCCAAATCTATCTACAATTTATTGTATCTTAACAGCAGGTAAACGGCTAATAGTCTTGTTCCTAATTTAGGGATTTTCCAAAATCTCCCAGTTTATTGAATTAGGTACCTAAACATTTCTAATTTGATGCTCAGATTTGTAAATCATTTTTGTTTTGATATTCAAAGCGTAAACACTCGTTGTGCGTAACAAAAAGGAAGATTGTGATTTTATAATGCCTAAAACAACCAGTGCTTCAACTTGGATTAAACCTTATAAAGAGCTGTCTATGGATATGGGAAAAATCTACTGTTCAGTCTGTGGCAAAATTGTAAGTATCTAATATTTTCTATTAAATATCTAATATTTCATACATACAGGGTGTTTCCAAATGACACTTACAACGTTTGACTGTAGATACTTCTCGAAAAATTGATCAAAACGATATAGTTAATGAGGGGTCAAACTTATTTACTTTTCGAGATACAGGGTGTTAAAATTAAAAAAAATTAAATTCTTTTAGTTAATAACAACAATAACTTTAAAACCAATAAACGTATTTACTTGAAATTTAGTACTCGTAGGTTGTTTTTAAATGAAAAATAGCTTCCTTTAGTGAGAAAAAATTGTCCATGGTACAATACAATGGTGTGTATTTAGAAAAATTTTTCACCTTTACTTTTTTTTATGAAGTCAGCTATTCTAAAACACAATTATTTTTATTGTAATTGAATTAACAAAAAAAAAAACTTTTGTTGAATTTTAAAATAAGTTATATGATGTACTAATGGTTAGTAACAAAAACTAATTTGTGGATTAATACTGCATTTAAAACACTTAGCGAGTGTTTTTTTTTCCAAACCAGTTATTTGATTAACCAAAAAAACCTTGTATATTTTTATGTTTTAAAGGTTGGGTTAAAATAAAGGTTTTTATTTTTATTTACAGATAGCATGTGAGAAGAAATTTCAGATAGACCAACATGTGAGAACTGCTTCACACATTGCAAAAAAAAGGAAAAATAGGAGGAAAACATCAAACTTCAATGGCTAAATGTTTCCAATCTACTTCAAAAAAATTAGATGAGCAAGAAACTTTTAATGAAGACTTGTGTCGCGCATTAGTGTCTGCAAACATACCGCTTTCAAAATTAGCAAATGTAAATTTCAGTTCGTTTCTAAAAAAATATTGCAAACTTAATGTTCCAAGTGATCGGTCTCTAAGAAGAAATAATGTGAACGGGCTATTCTCGTCGGTGTTAATTAATATTAAGGAAGAAATTGCAGATAATTATTTTTACATATCTGTAGACGAAACCACTGATTCCTCAGGAAAGTATATTGCTCATTTATTGATTGGTGTTCTTAAAGAAGATACCTTACCAAAATCTCATCTTATTTCATGCCAGCAACTTGAGAAAACAAATGCTTTAACAATTTCGCGTTTTATACAAGAAACATTAGCAACTTTTTTTTTTCCGACAACTATTCCTTCTAATAAATTACTGCTTATTTTATCGGATGCTGCTCCTTATATGGTGAAAGCAGGACAAAATTTAAAAATATTTTTCCCAGATTTAATACATGTTACTTGTGTAGCGCATGGATTAAACAGAGTTGCAGAGGAAATACGAAAAAAGTTTCCTCTTGTAAATACCATGATATCCAGTGTCAAAAAAGTATTTCTTAAATCTCCTATAAGAATTCAACTTTATAAAGAAATGCTACCTAACATTCCTCTTCCACCACAACCTATTTTAACGCGATGGGGAACATGGTTAGAAGCAGCTAATTTTTATGCAGATCATTTTGTTAAAATAAAGAACATAATTGATACGTACAGATGAAATTCCAATCTCTTTGGATCTAACAACTTAGAGTAACTTGCTTCAACAAGAACTTTCATTTATAAAATCAAATTTTAGTTTTGTTCAAAAAACAATTACTCAGTTAGAATCACCAAAACTGTCATTGTTCGAAAGTACAGCATTAATAAAAGAATTTGCGTCATGTTGTCGGAACGTTAGAGGTAATATTGGAAAAGATATTTTAAAAAAATTTGAAGCTACTATGGAAAAAAATAAAGGTTACCATATTCTTTCTGAAGTGGTCAGTGTTCTAGCTGGAAATATTTCGGAAACAATTAATTTAGAACCAAATGTTTTGGTTAGTTTGAAAAATGCTCCCGGTACATCAGTTGATGTTGAACGAAGTTTTTCCATATATAAATATATGTACTCAGACAGAAGCCACAAGTTTTTGTTAGAAAATTTTGAACACCACTTGGTCATTTATTGTTACCATAATTCTAAATAAGTTTATTCATACTTAAAAATGATGTAGTTACTTAAAATAAATGTAAATCTTAATGAGTAGTAGGAAATATTTAGTTATGTACACTTTTTTTTTTAATAAAACTGTTACTATTTTACGATTTTTTTATTTATTTGTATGCATATTTTGTAAAATGTTTGCATATTTTCGGGTAAACACGTGCATATTTATGCGCATATTTTCTACATTTTTATTTGCATATTTGCCGAAGTCTAATCATATGCTTTGCTTATATCAAAAAACATTCCAACACAGTGCTGTTTTATTGCAAATGCTTCGTGGATTTCTGATTCTAAGTCAACGAGGCTGTCTAAAGTTAAGCGATGTTTTCGGAAACCACATTGTTCTGGAATAATTAAGTTGTTTGATTATAAATACCACATAAGCCTATTGTTTATTACCTTTTTTAATATTTTACTTATGCTACATATGAGTGATATCAGTCGATATGTTTGTGCATCTGATTTTGGTTCAGTTGGTTTTAGAATTGGTATTATGATTGAATTTTTCCATGATTTAGGAAACACGTTCTGGATAGGATTATATTGTAGATTTTAAGTAGATATTCTTTAGATTGAGAGCCTAAATTTTTAAGAAATATAAACGGTATATTGTCGGGTTAGGATAAGTGTTCTTACAGTTTTGAAATACATTTTCTAATTCTTCCTCTGTTATTGGTATACTTAAATCATTATTGTTTTGATCGTAATATTTTATAGTATTCATACTTTATATATTATATATGATCATTTTTTAACCACACTTCCTAGTTATGGCCATATTGCATTTCAAAACCCAACAGTGTAATACCGAAGTATCTTACTTTATACTTATCCAAGACAATATTTCAGTTAAAGCTGTATTGCATTAGATGGGGTATTATAAAGGCAACCTTTTTAAAGCCTTAACTCAAAATTAGAATTCTTTGCAGTTGTGGCACTAATGAACTAGATGTACAATATATTAAGACTGGTGAGATTGTTATTGTATATATTGCTGCCTTTTCATCTTATCGTCATTAATGGCGTCCATTGCCATCAAAATTTTCATCTAAACTAGCTTATATGAGCTTCAATAAGTAATTAAACACCCGTTATGTTTTACTTTACATTTTTTACATTGTACGTAATAAATAAGTAGTACACGCTATATCAGTTTGTAAAAATTCTCAATAATAACTGATTAAAAGGTCAAAGCAACAACATTTAAACCAAGTTTAAAGCGAAACATTAATTAAGATCATTTATACGCAAACGAGTAAATTAGAAGTGATAATGTCTATTTTGGAAGTATTAATTATTTTGGCAGGTACGTGTATAACTTCTTAAGTATTCTATATATTTTTTGTTTTAAATGCTGCTCTTTAAACATATTATATTGTTTTCAATCTATTATGTAAATGCAAAAAAATACGAACAATTGGATACCTCGGCCATATTCTGAGAGGAAAAAAATACGCAATCCCTCAACTAATCATCCAGGGAAAGATTGCTAATTTTCTCTATAATTTCACAATTGTTTAAAACTTTACAGACTCCCATGCGCAGTTGCGATTTCGTGAATACACTAAATGAATCAACTCATAACCTCTATTATATTCTTATAAGTCATGTATTTCTTTAATCTGTAGTTGTTCTTTGTAGACACAATGACGCCTTGATTCATATGCCAAACTTACGCAGCCGTGATTGGGGGCAAAAATTTAGCAAAGATTTTGTTGTTGAAAATAGTTGTTTCTGTAGCAAATTTTTTGCTTTTAAACGATTTTTGACATACCGTGCAGATTTAGTTCCAAACCTTTCTTGAAATATTTTTTAGGAATCCATATTTTCTTTGGTTAAAATAATTAACAGGTAATTTTTCAACGAGAGTCTAGTAATACACTTACACAAAAAAGGGGACAAATGTGATCTGCACAATTATAGACCTATATCGTTGCTCGGTCAAATATACAAATTATTTATGAGAATTATTAACAACCCATTAACCTACAAAATGGACAATTACCAACAGGTTGAACAGGCTGGCTTCCGCAAAGGATATAGTACATCAGACCATCTGCTGACAATGAGAACATTGATAGAGAATTCAAATGAATACCAACTACCCGTATTTCTTGCCTTCGTCGACTATGAAAAGGCGTTTGATAGTACCTAAATGTGGGCCATAGAACAAGCTATTAATAATTGTAGAATAGATTCGAGATATAGGCAACTAATACATAATATATATGAAAATGCAACTATGATAATACAACTAGAAGAAAATACAAACCCCATCCCCATTAAGTGAGGAGTGAGACAAGGAGACGTAATATGGCCAAAGCTTTTCAACCTAGCCCTAGAAGACGTCTTCGAAACTACAACTTGGTCAACCTATGGCATTAACGTTAATGGCAACAAGTTAAATCACCTCAGATTCGCTGACGACATAGTGATTACAGCGAGCACATTCGAGGAACTGCAAATTATAATGGAGGAACTAGTAGGCAGCTCCCAATACGTCGGCCTAAAAATGAATATGAAAAAAACAAAAATAATGACAAACACAGATGGCCCCAGACGTATAACTATAAATGACAGTGAGATAGAAAAAGTCCAGGAATATATCTACCTAAGCTAAATCCTGAAACTTGACAAAGAGAAAAAAAGTGCGGAAATTACTAGAAGTGCAAGAATAGCATGGGCAGGAATTGGAAAACTTAGTTGGATACTTAAGAACCGCAAAATATCCCAATACTTAAGGTGCAAAGTATTCAACCAATGCATCTTTTCTATCATGACATATGGATGTCAAACCTGGACCCTAACCAAGGCAAACATGAATAAACTAGCCACAACAGAAAGAATAATGGAAAGAGCAATGTTAGGTATAAGACTGTCAGATAAAAAGAGGAACGACTGGGTAAAATCAAAAATAAAAGTCGAGGACACAACAACAAAAATTGCGAAACTTAAATGGAACTTCGCGGGCCACACTTCTAGACAAAAAGACCAACGTTGGAATACTACAATACAACATTGGAGACCTTACGAAAGTAAACGACCAAGAGGAGGACCACATATGAGATGGGTTAATGACATTAAAAGAATAGCCGGAAAAAATTGGAAATATCTTACTCAGGATAGAGACCGATGGAAGAAGTTGGGAGAGGCCTATGTCCAAACATGGATGACAGAGGGCTAAGAAGAAGAAGAAGAATTTTTCTGCATTAGTACCCTTGGAAAGTCATTTACCTGTAAGTTTTTTTTACCTTACAAATCAGCATTAACATTAACTTGTGACGTTCTGTCACGTGTCTACAGATTATCGTGATCCATTCGTTACTGGATTTATAGCCTACTACTTTTCCTTCACTTGCTAAAGCTAGCGTCTGGGTTGAAAGACATTTCCCGAAGAGCCAAGAGCCCAGATTCCTCTGCGTTAAAAATTTGTTCATAGCCCTGATCCTTGGAAGAAAGGAACTCTTCTACCTTACTTTTAAATTTCTTAGCTTCTTGTCCGTCGTCGATAAGCATCTCCACATGAAGTCCTATTTGTTTTATTCAATAGCGTAGCTTAAAGCGAGTTTTCTACCTAGATGTTTCATCAAAACTTGCAATGCAATGACCAATGCGTCAAATAACTATTTTTCTTTTGCAACAATTAAAGAACCTAGGCAATTATTTTGGTGTACCTATATTAGTAACTAGTACTATCGACTAATCGATACTATACTAAAGGCACACATGTTTACTGGAAGGTCATTTTATGAGTTCTAATTTTTTATTAATAGTCAATCTAACTTTTTTCTTTTCTCAGACATGATAACAAAACAATAAAAAATGCGCGCTAGTATAAAATTAAACACCACCTTCTTCTTCTTTAAGTGCCGTCTCCCAATCAGAGGTTGGATATCATCATCACTATCTTTACTTTATCTACTGCTGCTCTGAAGAGTTCTATAGTTCTATAGAACCAGTCCCTTAAATTCTTCAGCCATAACACTCTCCTTCTTCCTATACTTCTTCCTCCTCTTATTTTTCCCTATATTATCAGCCTTAGCAGTTCATATCGCTGTCCCCTCATTACATGTCCCAGATATTGTAACTTTCTTATTTTTATTGTGTTTATTATTTCGCATTCTTTGCCCATTTCTTGCAATACTTCCGTGTTAGTTGTCTTCTTCTGTGTCCATGCTATTCTATGCATCCTCCTGTAACACCACATTTCAAAGGACTGTAACTTATTTATGTGTTCCTGCTTCAATGTCTAGCTTTCAAGTCCATATTGCAGTATCGAAAACACGTAGCATCTCAGTGCTCTTACTCTCAGTTCTAATCTAAGATCTTTGTAGCAGAGAATTGTTTTTATTTTTACAAACGCTTTTCTTGCTATTTCTATCCTATCCACCTATCAACAGTCAACTCAAAGTACTGCCTTCTAAGGCTAAGTCACAACACAGGAACGTTAACAATAACCATCTACCATTGACGGGCACTCATAGTAAAGATCTTTGCTTCAACACGAAGGAACCCAAAAAAGCTAGTCTGACAAACAAATAATAATCTAAGTCAGCCATGCGTCAAACTGGTCAAAAGTAGCCGGAATGATGTGTCAATAATGGACTCTTGAAAATATAATCCAGTCATTTAGACGAAAAATTGCCTGAAAATGATGTACTTAACTAGTAGATTCAAGCTACAATACTATTGTAATAACCGGAATTGGTAACAGCTTATGGTGAACAACTGGAGAGAACTAACAGTATCACTTGCCTTGGTTGTAATCTAAATGAGAACTGGGACATAAGCAAAGAAATTAGAATACGGATAGAGAAGGCCAGAGCTGCATTCTTTAAGATGAAGAAACTGTTATGTGGAAACAATATTACTTTAAATCTGAAAATTAGATTAATGAGATGATATATGTTCTCTACTCTTTTGTATGGTGTCAAAGGTTAGACTTTGACGGATACACTTCTCAAGAAACTAGAAGCCTTTGAAATCTGGGTGTATCGGAGAATCCTACAATTAAGCTGGGTGGATAAAGTTCGTAACGAAGTTGTTTTGCATCGGATGTGAAATTACAGAAGTCGACAAAACAGTTAAAAATCGCAAAGTTGAATATTTTGGCCATGTTATGCGCCACCCAGAGAGATATAATATACTCCATTTAATAATACAGTAGATGAAAAACAAAAAAGCTCCTGGCGAGGATCGTATAACGTCTGAAATGTTAAAAATAGGCGGCAACATCGTTGTAGAAGTTGTGGAAGTCTTACTGAATAAGTGTCTAACAGAAAAAAGAATACCCATCCTATGAGAAAACGCCGAAATAATACTTTTACACAAGAAAAGAGACACTACTAATATTAAAAACTACAGACCTATAAGTTTGTTGTCACACTTATACAAATTGTTAACAAGAATAATAACCAACCGCATAACACAAAAACTTGATTTATATCAACCGGTTAAACAGGCGGGATTTAGAAAAGGGTTTGGTACTAATGATCACTTACAAACCATCAGAACACTAGTAGAAAAAACCACAGAATATAATGTACCTTTACATATGGCATTTATCGACTTTTACAAGGCTTTCGATAGTATTGAGACTTGGTCCTTTTTGTCAGCCCTGAAGGATGCTCGAAGAGACTCACGGTACACTACACTCATTAAAAACATTTATGAACAGGCCACATTCCACATCAAAATCAATGAAGACGAAAAAACTGAAAAAATGCGCCTTGAGAAAGGTATTAGACAAGGTGATACTATTTCACCAAAGCTTTTTACCTTAGCATTGGAAAATGTATTCAAACAGCTTGACTGGGAGGAAACAGGTCTAAACATTGATGGTGTACGTTTGAGTCATTTGAGGTTTGCGGATGACATACAGATATCAAGGAACTGGAGCAAATGTTGAAGGAATTAAACCAGCAGTCAAATAAAATAGGTCTCAAAATGAACCTTCAGAAAACAAAAATAATGAGTAATTTACAAACTAATCTTGTTATTGACAACGTCAGTCTTAAAAATGTGGACCACTATATATATCTTGGACGTACCATTAAAATCGACAAAGAAAATCAAATAGCCGAAATAAAAAGACGCATACAACTGTCTTGGGGAGCTTTCGGCAAATTAAGCTTTATTTTGAAGAATAAAAATATACCACTGTGTCTAAAACGTAGAGTTTATGACAAATGTATCTTGCCTGTAACTACATATGGAGACCATGGCCTTCACAAAGAAAACCTTAGAGCAGCTCAGTACAACCCAAAGAGCAATGGAGAGGGCCATGCTAGGGATTAGTTTGAGAGACAGGATTCGAAATAACGTAATTCATGAAAGAACAAAAATTACTGGTGTCTCAGAACGTAATGCAAGGCTCAAGTGGCAATGGGTTGGACACGTTGCCCGAGATAATCTCGAAAAATGGACACAAAGATTAACAAACTGGAGACCAAGAGAGAACAGGCGAGGAGTAGGCAGACCGCAGAAGAGGTGGACAGACGATATCAAACAAGTCGCGGGCAAGCAGTGGATGAGAATTGCCAAAAGGAAGCAAATGGAAGAGGCCTATGTCCAGCAGTGGACGAACACAGGCTGAAGAAGAAGAAGATTTAATAATACAAGGCAAGGTAGATGGAAGAAGAGGGCCATGTCGAAGAAGAACGTCATGGCTTAGAAACCTGAGAGATTGGTTTAACAAATCCTCTGCATCTCTTTTCTGAGCTGCTGTCAACAAAATTACTATAGCCAATTTGATAGCCAACACTCGATAATCGATATTTGATTTGGCTTCCATTGTTCTGCTTTAATCCCATGGGGCCATATGCAATATTGTTTTGATTTGTCAGCTACACAGTTAGAATAATTTGTGAATTTTAAAATGAAATAAAAATAAAATTATAGTTATTCGCAATGAGCTATGCTTCTTTCTTTATATACGATATTAATACTAAGTTCTGCTATTTCATCTAAAGATGTCAAGTTGTCTATTTTGTGTAAAAATTTAAAATGTATTTATGTTTTATATTTTATATAATTAAATAAGAATATGACTCAGAGTTATTAGAATATCGATCTCATTGCAGTTAGAATACATAAAAAAGGTTTCTCTTGGTTGTGAATTATGTAATATTGATGCTAGTACGTTCATTCCTTAATCTTCTCAAATTATTTTTTTCTTCTCGAGAAAGAATAAAATTTGTTTCCGTTGTAGCTGTGTTGGTGATAGTGAAGCTACGGTATTGATCCATTTTTATACTTTTTGTTATATACGTTTAGTTATTATACGTTTAGATCATGGTTATTGATCGCCAACAACAGTTTCCTGAAACCCAAACTATTGCGGAATGCGAGGTAGTCTCATCTATGATATATCTTGGAGCTCTAGTTAACAACACAGGCAGTTGTGAATCCGAAATTAGAAGACGCATTCAACTAGCAAGAGCAGCAATGAGTGAACTAAACGGGATCTGGCGTGATCGTCACATTACTATGACAAACAAAAAGAGACTCGTTTCAAGTCTGGTCTTTTTCATATTTTACTATGCATGCGAGACATGGACAGTCAAAGAATCAGATCGACGACGCATAGACGCCTTTGAAATGTGGACATGGAGACGCCTGCTTCGAATTCCATGGACGGCTTGTCGTACAAATATCTCGGTTCTGGATGAAATTAAACCGGATCAGCGTCTCTCCAATACCGTTTACTCTAGAATTTTAAAGTTCTTTGGCCATATCCATCGAAGTGATCACAAAATGGAGCGGTTGGTGGTCCAAGGAAGGCCTCAGACTCAACGCAAACGCGGAAGATCTCCACAGCGATGGGCGGACATTACTAAAAAGCTTCTCAATAAACAGTATACTGAGGCAATACATATAACTGATGACCGCGACCAGTGGAGAAATATTATCAATCAAACTGTCCGAACTGCTGAAGCCCAATTATGAACCACAACACATCTACTAAGATGTTAATGACTGTGATGATAATTATACGTTTTGTTTTGTTGTTTTTTAAAGTGTTGTACGAAACTTCATTGCACCTCTACACACGTGTAATCGTCTCTACTTTAATTTAACCTAGACAATTCCTTTGCAGTTTCATTAGCTGCCTCATTTATTTGGTAGGTACATTGTGTGACACCAGAAGTAACGCCGTCGTTAATTTTTTGTAGAATATGCAAAAACGAGTATTAAGTCATTGTTTTTTACAGGTTATACAACGGTGCTATTTTTAGACCATGAAGTAGATATTAATAAAGAAACCTGCAATAGTATTGGTGGACCAGGTACTTTTTCTAAATTGACTGTAAGTATACCTTAATATACATTTATATTTCTATCATTCTATTATAGATTTATTTATATTTCGACACAATATTCGGTTTATTCAAGAGATAAAATGTAGAATCGAGATAGCCCGCACGACATTTTTAAAAATGAGGTTATTCTTCTGTAATGATAACTTGAAACTTCAACTTCAAAAGCGTATGGTTAAATGCTACATTTGGTTAGTCCTCTTATACGGTGTCGAAGCATGGACATTAAAAATATCCACCATTAATCGTCTGGAGTCCTTTGAAATGTGGCTGCACAGACGTATACTAAAAATTCCATGGACGGCTATGCTGAAAAATGTGGCAGTCCTTGAGAGAGCAAATGCTGCTCGCGAGCTGCTTGATAACATTAAATGTAGAAAGATGGCCTATTTTGGACACGTAGTAAGGGGAGACCGATATAATATTCTTCAACTTATTATGATGGGTAAAATCGAAGGACGCAGAGGAATTGGTAGAAAGCAGGCCTCTTGGTTGAAGAATATCACAGAGTGGACAGGAATAAAGAAAGCTGAGCAACTCTTTATCTTCTCTATCGTCCTAGTGTCCTGGTCGCAGATCTCTCTCTGACAATGCCTTTTATACTTCATCAAGCTATGTTGTTTTCGGACTTGCTCGTTTTTTCTTTCTCGCTCAGCTGGCTGCCTCTCACTATTAACTTCAGTAGACGATGTCCATCATTCTCTGCACATGTCCATACCAAATAAGCTGTTTTTGCTGTCCTTTTTCTATGATAATGGTTGTTCTGTCTAACTTATCTCATTCTTTCATTTATTACGTACATCATTCTAGATATACCTGCGGATCTTTTTTCTCGGAACGGAACAGGAGGTGTTCCGTTCTCTTAGTGACTTGTCAGGTTTCTCATTGATAAAATACAATGCTTTTAATATACTGTAATATATATATATATATATATATATATATATATATATATATATATATATATATATATATATATATATTATTGTGATATTTAAAGTCTTGGTACGCCAAGCAGTTAATTAGCTAATTAATTAATTAATTAATTAAAATTATTTAAATGATATGATTATGACTCTATCACACTTTTTAATTCTCTTATCTCAGGGTTAAATTCGTGCTTCAATATCTATGCTATTACATGTGAAAGGTAGGGTCCAAAGAATACCGGAGTAATAAAAAACACATATGATATAACACTATATATTGAAATAAAAAGTAATGAAATAATTCACACTCAAGTGTTTTCAATAAACAAAATCTCATATAATGATTCTCAAAATTTTGTTCTACGTACGTGAACAATCAAAATTAATGGTACAAACAATATTAATTGAAATCTCAAAATTCCAAATTATTCTAACTCTCCTAATCAGAATATTTATCCTTTCTAAATTAAGTGTAAAAATTGTGTTATCAATAAAAGAAAAAAAACTGCAGAAAACAAAAATATATCTCTCTTATGATGAGTGGTCCAAATCCTTGTTCCTTGTAGACTATATTATCTACTCTCAGCCGCTTCCTAGGTAATCAGCAATCTTACAACAAATTGTTGCAAGTATATCGTCCTTAATGATCTCCTTCAAATGCAAGAATCGTTCAAATTATGCTAGCCTATTTTCTTCTCGATAAACTGAATCTCTCGTTGGCCTGAGTGAAAAATGACTATTGGAATATCTTCTCTTTACGATAAACTGAATCTCTCGTTGACCTGAACAGTGACTCTAGGAATATAAGTAGAAAAATATGACTTACAATATTTTGCTGCTTCAGCTTCTGTCAGATACACTAACTCCACAAAAACTCACTAATATTCAACACTACTGCTTGCTACCTCTCGGGAACCGCCAGAGAACAATCACTGTTCGTCTTAGAGATTTGGAAAACCAACTGATTATCTTTTCTCTCTCAAAAATCTAGCTAAACTTTCATTCCTACATACCTATCCCACCTTTTTCAATATCCGCCAATCAAAGCTCGTCACAATTCTCCCAATTTTTCATTTCGATAACAAACAAATTTTTACCTATAGTTATAAAATTTCCTAAAACTTATTTACAAATAATATTTTTCTACGATTCTTAAAAACTAACAAAAACCTATCTTTATAAAATCTATTCTATTGTCCTTAATCACTGCCTTAATGTATTTGGAAAACCCGGTTCAATTGTCTTTGGATTTCACTTAAAATTATGCGGGTCACTCAAGTATATTAGAACAAAGAAAATAATTTATGCATAGCTTACATTTTGTTTATTACAGGTAATAGAAAAATTTAAAGACTTTTCTTATTCGAAATGTTTGTTGGGTATTATCCTACTTATCTGAATTATTTTAATGTTTTTGAACTTTGAAATATTTTAAACAAACCAATATTTTTCTCGATTTTACATATCATAACAATATATATATATATATATATATATATATATATATATATATATATATAATATATATATATATATATACATATATATTGTTGTACTTTTAAATGTCCATAAGCAATAAAAAACCGATATACAAATTTTATTACTTAAATAAAAATTAAAATTATTGATATTTCATAATGACACGGGCATATAAATTTTCAAACATCCTGTATAAGACAAAATATGTATTTTAAGTTGTTCAAAGAATTGTTCATTAGGCCTCAGAGACAAGACTTTCAAATATTATCGATAAGAAATTTAAATAAGTCGGTTATTGTGAAATGGATTTACCCGTAATAAAAGTGTATATAGAAAGTGTTTAAACAATAGACCGGGATGTGCGGTGGTTTTTCCCCCGAAAGATTATATCAGTAAAAGTTTATTAACAAAAAACATTGAATTGAGAAACAGGTATCGTTTGTAGCTATTAGTAAGACATATTTGTAAAGCAGATAGATTTAGCTAGAATAATTAAAGAATGTTGTTTTCTGGAATTACCCGAATGACGTTTTATAGAGAGAGTTGGTTGGTAACGATACGTGACAGAGGTAAAAGATTTTTATTGGTCAATTTTTGAATAGAAGGAGGGAGTGGTTTTGGCTATGAGATAGGAGAGAGGAAAGGAGTTAGTCAGTTTTCGTCGCCCAAGAAGGAAGGAGCTTTGTGGTTTGTGTTTGTTTGAAGTCCCGAAGACGTAATTTACCGGGTGTGTTTATTTGCGGTGTAAAAGCTGATGAGTGTGAGGAACGGGGTACAGAGAGATAGAAAAACCAAAAGGTTATAAGAATATTAATAGCAGACGAAGCCGGAAACATTTGAAGTTATAAACAGGCGCGGAGATTGGTTCAAAAGGAGGCTGCATAGAATTACACGAGTTGTTGGGTTGCAGATACAAGGACAGAGAGGAGAAAGGTGCACGTCTTCTGGACCAAAATAGGAGCAGAAGCAGAGAAAGGTTTTTTTTTTATGGCGTGGCCATAGAATTGCAACGGCAGATAACGAAAGGTCAGTCAATTTTCATTAGAGCAGGAGTGTGGTTTTCATTTATAAATTAAATAAATTGAATAAATTATAGAGACAGTTAATTTGCGATCATTTAAAAAAGAAAAAATTATAAAGAGAGCTTAGTTATAACACATATTAAAAATCAATGTAAAATAACATTTGGGTCCATGATAGAAAACAACTTCTCATATATTTAAAGTATTGTATTGCAAATATTACCGGATTGATTGTTATATAAAATTTCAATAAAATAAAGGACATCTCACATATACTTCAGTTGAAATTCTGTGTATTTTATTCAGGTCATATTACCTATCCCAATTAGGAAGCCAATTGGAAAATATTTTGAATCCACGATCAATGGTAAATAGTACAAGTTAAATATCCTGAGATTGTAATTAATTAATGCTGATTTATTGTGATTAATTGGAGATTAGATCATTTAATAAATATAGACAGGATCTTTTCTAAATAAGCAATAGAATACAATTTAAATAGCATAACAAAATGGCCCCCAACGTGTAAAGCTTTGAAAAATATTTCTAGTTGGCAAATTTGAAAGGATAGGAGTAGACGAGCAGATATTTGAAAGTTTATATGCCGTGGATAAAGTGAAATATTATGTAAAATTTGAGGACATAAAGATTTATATATTTTTTTAACATACAGTTTACCATAATTGATTTATTCGTGATATTGACAATTTATAGGTTACCATAATTGATTTATTTGTGTGATATTTACATTTGATAATTTTACCATACTTGATTTATTTGATTGATTTTGACATTTGATATGTTACCATTTGATTTATTTGTGGGATATTGAAATTTGATACTCGTACTCAAGAGTTATTACATTTGAACAAGAAAAGTCCCGTTTGTTGCAACAGACCAGTAGAATTTTATATTTGGCGGGGACAAAAACAGTAACGAAAAGAAACAACATGTCGATCACAAGGAGTCAAAGCAAAATGCAAGAAAGGAAGGAGGATAACAGAGAAGAGGAAACAATGTTTGAAGAAGGATCAGATAATGAAGGAAATGTTACAATAATAGAGGAAAGAAAAGAAACAGGGATGTTAGAAAAATTATTAGCAATGATGCAATTACAGACACAACAAATACAAGAATCAACAAAACAGGCCATACAAGAGAATCTAAGGGAAACAAAACAAACAATGAATGAAACAGCAAAGAAAATGGAAGAGACAATAGAGAAAATCCAAAAAGAAACATCACTAAAAATCGAAGAAAACCAACGGAAAATAAGACAAGCAATAGAACAGAAATTAGAAGAAAATGATAGAAAAATGGAAAAGCGTTTGGACAAATATGAAAATGAAGTAAAAGTCTGTTTAGAAAAAGTTAGTGAAACAGAGAGGAAACTAGAGATGCAGAGAGAAGAAATGGAAACTAAAATGAAGGATATTAAGGCTGTCCAGAAAAAGGAACTGGAACAGTTAGAAGAAAAATTTGAAATGGCGTTACTAGAAGACAGGAAAGAAATGGAAAGGAAACTTAAGCAAAATGAAAAACAAATTGCAGAGATGGAGA